ACTGGAACTAATGTTGGTGTGAGTAAAATATTTCCATTTACTTGAAATAGATTTGCCAATTTATTTGTTTATTTATTTATTTATAATATACTGTAATACATTAAACACACTGCAAGTATTTTCTTTAATTTATATACTTGTTGGTCAACTTCACCTGGTAGGTGAAGTTGACCAGAAATTTATGGTGATCATTAAGGACCAAACTCGAATCTATGACGTGACTTCTGTTCATCATTCTCATCCTAAATTTACCACTGTCGGTAGTTTCAAGAATTAACTCAGTCATTTACTGAATATTCTTTGTAAAAAAATAAATTTTAAATTAATTATTTATAGGAGATAAGTATTATGATCAGTAAATATACAGATATGCATTACTGACCACCTCCGAACACAAGGACGGCTTAAAATAGCCACAGGCGGTCACAGTCAAGGTCACTTTCCCTTTCTTGTCACTGGCAAATGGGGGTGATGATAGCAACTGTGTTTATAACCGGGGTATATTGTTGTTTTACGGTACAGTCAGTTCTGCTATAACGCGATAGTTGTGTTCTTGTAAAACATCGTGTTATAGAAATTCGCGTAATAGAAATAACAGGGCTTATGGAGAAAATAGGGTTAGGTGCAGATTACTACTCGAAATCGAAAAAATTTTAGTAGTTAGCCTAACACAAAGGTTAGCACAGTCTAAATAAATGTTACATTCATATCTAATAATGAAATCATACAGTAAATGTAACACTTTACCGTGAAGAAATATGAATATAACTTGATGGGGGAGAAGGGTGATTTTGAGGTTGATAACATCGAGCTTCTCTTCAAGGGTTATAGCCTTTCTTTTACGATCATCACCGGGAATGCGATCAACAGAACGCTTCTTGGAGATATTCTTCTTTACCATATTCACAGTTAATACCACAAAATTGGAGAAATAGTAAGCAAAAATCGCGTGACAGCAAACAAGCGTTCGCGTTATACAAATATCGTTCCTCTATTCATAAGTCGCGTTAGAGCCAATTCGCGTTGTCAAAACACGTGTTATAGCAGAACTCACTGTATGTTAGACAGGTTTAAAATACATTTTTATTATTTTAATATACCGGTAATCTTCATTTTAATCCAGCTTCCCAAACGTAAGTATCAGTATAAAATAATTAGTGGTAGGACCTTGTCAGTGGTTTACCATGTTTCCATCACCACTCTTGACACGCTAAACCGCAATATTTTAGAGGTAAGAATTTTATCTCTGGTGCTTAAGACGACCCCCTAACTTTGGGCTGATTTTTTTTTGTTCAAATTCCGTCTTGTAGGCCGAGATATACGGTATGTATTTTATTTCTCCTTCTGAAACCAGTAAACCACCCCTTGGTACTCGTAAACACTGGCACATCACTATCACTTGCACTGGGAGTCTTGGCTTTAAGGTCCTCAAACAATTGTCTGGCCTTCTCACAAATTATAGCTTCACTAATGCTATCACCTGCCATTTCTTTCTCCTTTATCCACACTAAGAGTAAATTTTCCATCTCTTCAATCACATTACACCTTGCTTTGCTAAGTCTAGAGATTCCCTTAGCCACTTGCACTGTTTTTAATTCCTCTTTATTCTTTAAAATCGTACATATACAGTAGTCGATTTAGCCATCCCATACTCATCACTAAGTTTCGCAATGCTTGTTCCATCCTCACGTTTCTTTATGATTTCTTTCTTAGTTTCAAGAGTTATGAGCTTTCTCACTCGCTTTGGACGATTCATTGTCACAATTGTACACTTGTATAACAAAATATTTATACAAATAACTCTATTTCCACATCAAAAGACGAAATTTCAATAATAATAGTGGTGCACTGGCTACACAATGAGACAAAGATGGCGCCTGATGCTCTTGTTGTGGGTCGCTGTACAACAATATTCATGCGCCAGGCGAAATAGTCCCGTATTCATCCGCGTTCGTTGTAGGGTTGCGTTCGTTACAGCATTCTCAATTTTATAGGTAAAACCCGTTCGTTACAGGAATAATCGTAGTAGGATCCGTTCGTTATAGCATACCCCACTGTATTCTGCTGACTGTTGGGAACCTTGGGTTTTATGTGCTCTTGTGCACTTATGAGGAACATAATCTTTTGTTGACAGTTGTAGCATGTGCATTCCTTAAAGGCACCTCCACATCTCCAACACAGTTTTATACCTGGCACAGAATTACCGGTTGGGGACGCTCTCATATCTGACACATCTTTTTGAGCATATTCTACTGCCATTACCACATCATACACTTTCTGGAACGTTAGAATATCTCCTGCTTTCGGTTTAATTGCCAGCAGTTTGACCTGTGTGGTTTATCATTATTACCTACAATTAACTGGTCACGTAACGTTTGATCCTGAGGGTTCTTTATCAATGAACTAAAATTGCAATGTTTAGTCAAAGCTTTTAAGGCTGCCACATACTCTGCCACACTCCAGTCTTGCGGAGCCGTTTATGAAACCTCAGCCGAGTAAATGTATCATAACTTTGGATCATGATGCTTGGTTAATACTTCACAGAGGTCTTTGTATGACAACACACCTGGCTCCTGTGACTTATACAAATTCCTCAACAGTTTATATGACTCGGGACCAATCATTGCAATTGACAGACTTCTTTCTTGCCTCCTTCTTTATGTTATTCGCTAGAAAACAATGCTCAGGGTCAAACTCACCGACATTCCCAATAAGAGACATCTTCGTCAGTCAGGGAACACTGGCTGAAGGTGACAAAGATCCTCCCCCCAAACACAGTCCACAGCCAGCGGTCCTCTTGTACACCCGTTTATCTTCGTCGCCAGTTCATCTTGTATCTTGGACCTCAATATGTGTGGGGAAATCAGCTACCAGAATTAGTATCTCCTTTGTTATAAAGGAGCAGCAATCTCCACCTGTGGTTTTGGCTCCATCCTGAGTAAGTGTCAACATAACATGGAATTCTGGGTACAAATGAGTGGTGCCTTGCATACCATACAAAACATAAGTTATTACACTTTGGTATGTCCCATTAATTTTGATCAGGAGTCACTTAAAATTGAGTGTAAATTTACTATGCTGCTCTCTGTCTTGGACTTTTATCTCTTTTTTTTATCATCTCGCTTTTTAATACCAATCCGAGGACTGCTTAAGAGATAGATATCTCAAAGTTTAGAAAGCTCATCTTGCAGCAATAATCCATTTAACACCATGGGCGATTTTAGCATAAAAAGCAGTTTTCTAGACCTTTATTTTTTCCCAACAAAACTAAATTCCCTCTTAAGTGTGCAGGGCTTTAAAATTGAGGGAAAATATGAGTTTAAAAACATTAAAAACACAAAACCTAACCTAACCCTGACACTGACTTAATTTAAACCAAACCTAACCTAATCTAAGTAACCTACTGAAACTCCCAAAGTATTTTTATAAACTTATCCACTGTGGTGGTGGGTATGCGGAAGTGATGCAGAACTGTACGTACTATGGTCCGGGTGTGTATGGATAAGCAAGTACCTTTACTTTACTTTTTTACTTTTATCCTCTTCGCCACTGATTGGCAAGTACTGGGCATGCACCTTCTCCTGAATATATCTGAACCTGCTCCAGTGTTGGTCAAGTCTGGTTTTGAAAGCGCTCATGCTCAGTGCCATCTCAATACACTCTGGCAAGTTGTTTCAAGAGTTCACGGTTCTCACTCCGAAAAAGTTTGCCCGCACAGTTTTCTGGACTTGTGGCCTCTACAAGCTAGAGCTGTGACCCCTTGTGTGGCGGGCATCAATATTCCTTTTGGTGTTGTCTGATATTTCCTGCTAGTGGACCCCAATTTCTGGTTTTCTGGATTTTGTGAGTATGTCCTTGGGAAAAAAGGCCATATCTCTTATACATACTATAAATTTCCCCCCCCCCCAAAATGACTATCACCACTGAACACAGCATAAAAAAAAACTGGAGATTTTTTTTTATGCTAAAATCATCTGCTGGTGTTATCTGGATTATTGCCATATTTAATCGAGTTGATTACAGGTACTTACAGCTCGAAAGACAAACATTAAAGATAAAAACTATTTGATTGATTCTTTAGTCTTTCAAATGTTTTCAAATTCTGTGATAAAAATACACCTTGTACTGTACAGTAAATATATATTTTCTTTTTTTAGAAAAAAAAAATACATTTGTGTACTGTATTACTTTCTTAAATATTTTCATGTATCTCTGATAGATTAGAATGAGTTTCAATCTGATGACATCACATCCTGTTAACGAGAAAATACAGTACTGGAACCATTGCCAAACTTTGCAAATTATTGCTACACTGTCAATTTTAGATAACATCTGACAACAGAAACTTATTAGTGGTGATGGTGGCCAAAATGGTTATGGTTATTAGGCCAGGGTGGAGGTAAAGGTGGTGGTGGTAGTAAGTGGAAGAGTGTTTGGTCACAGTAAAATTGACAGAAGAACTTATGATGATTCTCCTTAACATTGGCCAATAAAGGTTGTAACAAAGCAACAAAGAACAGACTAACCATCCCAAACAGTTAGTTAGCTGTTAATTGGTGAAATGATAAATAAAATTATAATACGTAAAATAAAATCATGTTATAAGTAACATTAGTGATATTGCACATTTAAAATACATGGCAGAATTATATTGGTATTACCACTAAGATTAGTGAGCAGGGGTTGGTATGATACCTAATTTATGAACCACCCTGTGACTTGGCTTTGGTCTTCTGGGGCACTGATGATTAATTTCCTACTATCCTAGGATTCCTAGCAGGTTTCTTACCGACTTCTGCCAGCAGCAAGCAGTAACACTAACTGTGCTTTCTCCTGCTAGGTGTAAATTGCCATGGATAACCCTTATGGATTAATGGTATTGTAGTTACGTATCTCACCTTTATGTTGTCACACTTTATTATTATAAACTCTAGTAAACAAAAACAGTCCTGCTCTTGGCACAACTGAGGAATAATTAACACACCCATCATTGTTGCCAGATTAAGCAAGTTGCGGTTGCCTGACCCACCTCTCGACTATGACTCTGATGAGGATGAAGAGGCTCAGAAGCAGGCAGTGCCCGTAGGAATCATGAGGGAGACTGGGAGTGACACGGAGGACCAGAAGAGGGAGCAAGGAGAGAAAAAGGGTGATGAGGAAGAGGAGAAGAAGGTAAAGAGCCTGAGGACTCTCCTGTTGAACAACGTCAAGAGAATGAACAATAAATACTCGCAGGTAAGTGTGGTAATGGGGTCAAAAATATTACTTTCCTCGTTGGTATGGTTTTCAATGGTCACCTTGCCTCTGGAAACCTCACAAAAGAAAACCTCACCATCTAGGAGGGCAAGATTTCAGATCCTTATGATCTTGTCTTGTGTGAAGCATCATGCTATTCACCACTCATGCAATAAACATTGACCTAAACTGTACAATACCATCACATGTACCTCAATTCTTTGCCTTTTACAGACTAAATAAATATATATTAAAAGTATTAACATTGCCAATTGTACAGTTGTGGACATAAGAATTTGGAGGGAGGGAAGTGATGAATGGGAGGGTAGGGGTAGTTGGATGTTTGGCACCATTGCATAGAGGTGGCAGTTAAAGCTACGGTCACACTAGCCACTGATTTCTCTGGACTGGGCTATTTTCAGGCTGGGTTGAGTCAGCCCACCCATTGGAGTGGTCACACTGCAAAATGAACTGTGTTGTCTAGTCCACAGTCAAAACAAAGCCAGTGCTGCGATGGAGGGAGGTTAGGAAAGGTTAGATATGGTTAGGTAAAAAAAAAAAAAAAAATATATATATATATATATATATATATATATATATATATATATATATATATATATATATATATATATATATATATATATATATATATATATATATATATATATATATATATATATATATATATATATATATATATATTCATATATATATATTCATATATATATATCTTGATAAAATCACACGAAAATGTAGAAAACATATAATTTTAGTTGCTTTATTCACATCTTTCAGAGGCAAATGGATTATGACAGAGAGAGGCTTAACATACAGGGTGACCTTAAAAACATGAGGTCTTATCTCAAGCTTTTCATTGTGATTTACATGAAATATATATATATATATATATATATATATATATATATATATATATATATATATATATATATATATATATATATATATATATATATATATATATATATATATATAATATATATATATATATAATATATATATATATATATATATATATATATATATATATATATATATATATATATATATATATATATATATATATATATATATATATATATATAAGTAAAGAAGAACATTTTCTCAAGCGCTTTACTCACCCTGAAGATGTGAATTACACCTAAAGCGCTTTGGGAACCTCTGTGTTTTCTTTCCTTGTATATATATATATATATATATATATATATATATATATATATATATATATATATATATATATATATATATATATATATATATATATATATATATATATATATATATATATATATATATATATACTGTATATATATATATACTTCATGTAGTTCAACAATGAAAATGTGGATAAGATAAATCTTGATAAAATCACACGGGAAAAGGGAAACAACGGAGCACCTTAGCCTCTGAAGATGTCTTGAATAAAGACAAAAGCTAAGGTGCTCCGTTGTTTCCCTTTTCCCGTGTGATTTTATCAAGATATATATATATATACATATACATACACATACATACCGTGTAACCCCGCTTTACGCGGTCAATTGAACCTGTGGAGGCCCGCGTAAAGCGGGAAACGCGTAAAGTGAACAACAGAACATGTGGGATTATTTGAAATAGAGACTGGGCCTACCCCCAAACTCCACTTTTTCCCGACACAATAGATACGTTTCAGTAAAAATAACTTCTTAACTTTATAATGGTATGCACACACACATAATATAGAAGAGAAATATCAATATTTGTAAGAGAATAATATACTGTACCAGGTAAAAGAAAAATCAAGGTTTAACACATGTCATGGTAGGTTAGGTTAGAAAAAATCAAGGTTTAACACTTACGTAAGGTTAGGTTATGTTTTAAAAAATCAAGGTTTAACACTAACCAAAGGTTAGGTTATGTTAGGGAAAATCAAGGTTTAACACTAACCAAAGGTTAGGTTATGTTAGGGAAAATCAAGGTTAGGTTTAACAATTACGTTAGTAGAAGAGATGGGTCGGCGTACGGGAATGGAGGATGGTTCCGAGGCAGAGGGCAGGCTACTGGCCCTCAGGTGAGTCACCATCACTGTCATCCACACTTGTCAGGGCCTCCCTGACAAATCCCTCAAAGTCACCATCACTGTCTCTGTCACTATCACTGGCTTGGGCTGGCTGTGGTGGGTTGCGGGCGAAGAACTCGGTAATGCTTTGTTGACGGCTAGTGTTGATGTTGTCGTGATACACCTTGATGTAGGGCTCCATAGCCTGCAACAGCTGGGTAGTGAAGACTTCGTACCGGTTATCGTCACGGTCGTTGGAAAGGATGAGCTTCAGTTTCTCTACACACTCGATGGCACTCCTTACATTACCATGCGATAACTTGCGTTCTTCTCGGGATGACGTACTGCCTGTCTCTTCACTGACATGATCGTCTTCTAACATCTCGTCGGCAGTCACATCAGGGTCCCTTTTCACCTCCATAATGTCGTCGTTGGTGGTCTCGGAGAAACCTGCAGCTGTAACACTCTGCGCAGCTTCTCTGGCAAGGTCCACTGCTACTGCAACAGTCTGAACCCCACCAGTCACAGATTGACTCTGCCTCCCACCTGGGATACCTTGCAACACGTATCCATGCGTGACGAACCGTTGCTACAGACAGCTGATCCCATGCCTCCACCAAGAAGTCCACAGCTTTCTTGACATTAAATTTCCTCCAAAAGTGTTTACAAGAACTTCTTGCTCTGCCAACTGTTGTTCCTCGTCCTCGTCTCTCTTGCTATCAGTGTCACCCAGGTTACGCAACTCATCCTTGGTGTTGGTGTAGTCGTTCAGGAGCTTAAATTTCTTTGCAGAGAATGCAGCTTTCACATTACAGATTAATTCTTGGTCCATGGTCTGGATTAATGACATAGTGTTGGGAGGAAGGAAGCCCACTTGTACGTTGGGGTGACGATCCAACAGTAGGGGTGAGTGTCCTGGTGCGTTGTCAAGCAGCAACAAAATCTTGAATGGAACATTGTGTTGCTCACAGAATTTCTTCACGTCGGGAACGAAACAGTCATCAAACCAGGAGAGGGACAGAGTAGAGAACATCCACGCCTTACGTGCAGTCAGCCAGTGGACATTTAGCTTGGTCATGTCCATGTTCTTGTAGGCGTGTGGCTTGCAGGCTGTGTGGATCACCGATAACTTGAGTTTACAGGAACTGGAGGCATTGGTGGTAAAGAGGACGGTGATGCGCTCCTGCAACTTCCGGCCCCGACACTTGCTGGCAGACTTGACAACGAAGGTCTTGGAAGGTAGCTTTTTCTAAAAGAGGCCGGATTCGTCCATGTTGAACACCTGGTCGTCGGTGTACTGTCCTTCCTCCATAATCTCACGTAAGAACGGAGGAAAATCCCTAGCCGCAACACGGTCAGCACACGCTTCTTCACCACCAACATTAATGTTGGTGATCTTGTTCCTCTTCTTAAACCTGTGCAACCACCCAGAGGAAGCATTGAAGGGTTTGGGCTCTGCAATTCCCATCTTACATGACACTGCTGTGTACAGTTCACGTGTGTACTCCTGAACTGAATGCGTGTCGACCGCCATGTTCCGTCTTGCCTGACGAATAAGTAGCTCACAAGTAACTTCTCCGTCTTGAGAAGCACCTTGATGTGGCAATACTTGTTCAATGAAGCACCTGTAGACTTTGTGATGTTCATGTGTTCTTTTATCTTGGCTGCATCCTTCTTGATAGTACGAATTGTAGATTCGTTCACACCGTGCTGGTTCGCCAAATCAACCTGTCTTGTTCCTTTCTCCAACTCTTGGATAATCTTGTATTTAATTTCGTAGCTTAGGGAACGTCGTATCTTCTTTGGCTTAGGACGGCTGGGTCCAGGTAATGCAAGGTTTCTTTGTGGTGGTGGTGGTGGTCCGGTGGAAGCCATTCTTATGGAACAATATACACGGTGTAGCCGGAAGGGGTGTAACTGGCGCGGGTAGGTCAAGGAGCTTGAACGTTCCCGCAGCGGGGCACGTCATTACATTAAACCAATCACAGCTAGCGGGGGAGGGAGGTAAGGATGCTTGGCCCAATCACAGTCCGATATGTCATATGACGTCACCGATAATGCAATAAAGACGTACACTTTCAACCTACATGCACCACTTACCCAACATGGCGGGAGAGATGGCGGGAGGTTTGAATCCAAAAATGGCGCTGCGCGAGATGACCACCAGCCGCTCTCCGCGTAAAAGAGTACATGCACCGCGTAAAGTGAGCATTCCGTGTTCGGCAGGGTACCGCGTAAACTTGGAAACGCGTAAAGAAAACCCGCGTAAAGCGGGGTAATACTGTAAAATTAATTGTGTGCATACCATCATAAAATGAAGATGTTATTTTTACTGCAATGTAAGTATTGTGTCGGTAATAGCCAAAAAAATGGTTGTTTGGCAGTCTGCCCAGTCTCTATTTCAATTAATACCATAGGATTTGTTATTTTGTTTACGCGTTTCGCTTTATATGCGGACCTCCATGGGTTTAATTAACTGCGTAAAACCAGACTACTAAATTGTATTATTATAATTGTTATTATATTTCGCCCCCTAGGCCCCAATATGGGTCAATGACCTGTGCCAGGGTGGGCAGATCCCTGTAAAAAAAAAAAAAAAAAACCCTAACCATTCTGAAATCCGAAAAATTCCGAAATGAATCTTGTCCCAAAGATTTCGGATAAGGGATTGTCAACCTGGTATACCCAAATAGCACTGTGTGCCTAAAAAAATATTAGGCTTTTAAAGTAATGCTTTCTGTTTGTTGTGGGCAGATGGGTGGTGACGTCACGCTGGAGGAACTACGACACACTTGGACTAACAGCTTTATGGAGCTTTCTGCCTCTCTTGCCCACATCTACAACCACCCATGTGAGTATTGCAAGGAGACAGGGCAATAATCCAGATATCACCGGCAGACGATTTTAGCGTAAGAAAAGTATTTCTTGATTGTTTTTTGATAATGTGTGCAGGGGAAATGTGTAGTTTAAGAGATAGGTCTTTGAAGCAGGAAATATCAGACCACATTAGAGGAAATATTTTTCAAAATACTTTTGTCCACACACACCTGGAGTATACTTGAAGAACAGTTCTTCATCAATTCTGCAAGTAAATTGTCCAAGCATACCCACCACCGCAGTAGGTAAGTTTACAAAAATACTTTGGGAGTTCCATTAGGTTTTTTGGGCTAGGTTAGGTCAAAGTTTGGGTTGGTTTGGATGGGTTAGGCTGGGTTGGGATGGGTTACATTAGGTTATGTGTTTTTAATTTTTTTAACCCCACATTTTGCTTCAGCTTCAAAGCCCTGTCCACTTGTGCAAATTTATTAATCTTTGGGAATAAAGGGCCGTATCTCTGAAATTGCATATTTCTCCCCAAAATGAATAATCAAGAAAAAATTTTTTTAATGCTAAAATTGTCTGCTGGTGTTATTTGGATCATTGGCGGAGACAGTTATGCATCACATAAACCATATGGCAGTTGACAAAGTTAAGAATTTCAAGAGATAGGTCGTGACAAATGATAGGCAGCACAGCTGAAGTTCTGCTAGATCCAGGAACTAAGCAAAGTTAGAGTGTAGAAGGGCTGAAAAACAAAGTTCTGGTGACAGCTTGCAAACAAGGCCAAATCAAACCCTAATGCTTTCTAACAATATGCAAGATCAAAATTAAAAACACATGGGTGTATTGGATCTGAAACTTGACGGTGGTAGTTACGCAGACTCAGATTCTTTTCCCTGGTGTTCATAAAGGAGGATGCAAACAACCTCCCGCCTTGACAGTCTAATGCAGTCGCATTTTAAGTTTTCAGAAGAGTGTACAGTATGTATTAGAATTTATTTTTTATGCCAAAGGTTCATAAGAGCCCTGTCCCTGATAGTGTGCATTCCAATGTTGAAAATTGTTAAATGAGTTTTCTGAACCCTTTGATGGGGTGGGGGTCTTGTTTGGTGACTGGTGATGTGTAGGGAAATGTTGTTGTTAGCTACTGGCATTTAAATGGCCTATCAGACAAAATTTCTGCCGTTCTCGGTCAAAAAGCTGACTTTCCTGATCACATGCTCGATGTAAAGCTTGAGATTCTATGCTGGCCATGCTTAATATATGTAAACAAAAGTCAAATGAAATGTAATATGTAATTTTCATTTGCTTTAATAAAATAAATACCGTTCAATTATGAATATTATAAAACCTTAGTTGGGCCTGAAATAAAGCCAGCATATTACCTAGGTATGTTAATTCCCCAGCTAACTCGCCAGGCCAACATACAGGCAATTAAAACATCTAATAATTACTTAATAAGTAATATTAGGAGGACACGTCGCTACCTGGCATTTAATTGCAATTCTCAAAACACCCCCATCATATGCATCACGACCTTCATCTCTTGCCTTAGAGCGAGCAGTAAACAAAAGTCCACTCTCGAGGGATGGAGATGGGTGGGTTATCGGCGTCGCATTCTGAGCTATATCACAAAAACTTATTTTTAGAAAAAAAAAACGGCTTTTTGTTTAACTCAGAATGCGAAACTCAGCATGAATACCCGAGCAGGAGGTGGAGAGGTAGGGGACTTTGCATACAAGGCTTCGCTGACTTAGGTCCAGATTATGTTATTAAACCGTTAAGAATATTTCCAAAATTAGGAACATTTACCGGAAGGTAAAATGTTAATTTACTCAAAAAGATTACTCACTTTATTCTGATGAGGAAGAAGGTCGTGGTTGTGGAGATTGACTAGGTGGGGGAGGGGACCCCAGCACCACCACATTTGAAGCATCTTTCAGAGATAGATGAAGATAGCTGTCTTTGAAAGTTTTTGAAGATCTCCAAAAGCCCATTTCCTTGATCTGACTGAGACTCATATGCTGCAGAAAGGCCACAGACCCTGCATATTTCCTAGTATCATGTGCCAAAAATTTCTTGCCAGGGTCTGCTTGATTCACTAATTGAGATAAGGATTTTGTCATTTGACTAGAAGATAATTTCTTACCATCTCTTGAAGAGGAAACATAGGGGCCTCGATTAGGGAATCTGGTTAACCATTCCTGAAGATTTTTACTGGGCACAATATATGAGGAACCCTTGTTTCATACATTAGTCGTTTTATCCTAATAGGTTGAGCTTGGAAATCTTCCCTTTCATTTTTTCTTAGGATCTCCGTAGGAAAAAGGGTAACATTCTCATCAGAAAATACCAATAATGATGGATTATTGGAAATTGAAATCAGTTCACTGATTCTCATACCTGTTGCTATTGCTAGAAGGAAGGCTGCCTTCTGGAGTAATTTATCCCTGTTCAGATTTATGTAATTAGGCCCCATAAGAAGATTAGTAACTTTTTCCAGAGACCAAGGTGGGATTCTCTTGGGGTGAGGGGGTCTCTTAATGAAAAAGGACGATCTTAGCATTTGATAAATCCTTGGGCTCAAAGTAATATTAAAACCCCAAGCCAGAGGGTCAACCAATGCTGATTTATAAGATGCAATTGTCGATCCTTGAAGGCCTTTAACTCTGAACAGAAATTCTAAAAATTCTAACACAACTGTTTCTGATAATGATTCTGGAGTTGTTAACTTGATAAATTGTTGAAAAAGATTCCAAGCTTTCTCATATTGAATAGAAGTTTGGGGTCTATGACCTGCTAATACTTGGTTAGCTATATTGGGATTACCCAACAACCTATTTAAAGATATCTCGAACTGAGAATGTAGTACCTGGTCTAGACATCCTTGTTGCAATTGTAGCGGATTCAGGCACCAGTCCAGCAGATACAGGCACCAAGGTTGTAGGATCCAATATGGTGCAAAAGCTTTTGTCAATCGAGTGACCCACTCCCTGCTTCCACCACATGTAACCTATCACCTCTGTTCATTGTATATTTTCAGCCTTCGGGCTGCCATGTTATTTTTAATGAACCGTTAATTATTATTATTTTATTATTTTTACACACACGCAAACACACACACTTTCTACAGGTAAAAGAAATAATTGTCTTAAGAACAAACACACAAAGGTAATACTGTATACATTTCTTTGCACACAGGTCAAAATGTACCCCACCTCCCCTGGTCAGTAAATGATTTTTGCGGATTTGGCTATTCTTAGCCAATTTGAGACCCAAACCCCCGCAAATTTTAAGGGCATGTTGTATAATTACAACATGCCCTTATGATATAGCCATGAATGAAGCTGTTTGTTACAGCAAAAGCTGGTATTTTACATGCCCATGGAACTGTGGGGGATTAGTGGGTCTCATGTAACTGACCTGACCTAACCTAACCTAACACAATGTCAGGTGGAGTTAAAGTGAGGAATTAGTGGTCTCATATTACTGACCGACTGATGCAATGTCAGGTCACCCATTTTAATTGGGGGATTAGTGGGTCTCAGGACCTGAAGATGTCTTTAACAAAGACAAAAGCTAAAGTACAGTATTTTTTAGGGTGAGTGTCATAAGTGTATGTATAAATGCGCAACGATGTATCCCTTCAACATTACGTTACAAAACATTTTAGAATATGGAGTGAGAAAGCAGAAAGGTGTGGGTGATTAGAGAGATGGAGTGGGAACATGCACCGGGGTTGCCAAGCGATAAGCTCCTAAACAGCTGATCTTTTAATTTGCCACCACACAGTCACTCACTTGTGCATCAGTTAACCTTGCATGAATTTATGTCATTCAATATGGGGGTGTGTGGGTGGTGTTAGGGTGTCTGGGTGTTGGGATATTAATTGATGAATAATAATTATGCAATATTGTATCATCAGTGACAGTTGTTTGACCTGTGCCCGGGTTGGCTAATTCCCGTAAAAAAAAAAAAAAAAATACTACCTTCGTTGCTACTATTCATCAAACTACTGTACTGTCATTAACAGTACTGTACAATATTGTTTATTGATTATTCATTAATTAATACCCCAACATCTCTTACACACACACACACACACACACACACACACACACGCACAAAGAAGAAAAAAAGAGTGATCTGCCAGTCCATCAGAAGATCAGTAAAATGAAACCATTAATACCCTACCCTACCTCAACCTGACATTGAGTCAGGTCAGATCAGATCAGGTCCCCCAAAAAAATAATTTAGCTTTTGTCTTTATTCAAACCATTTTCAGAAAATGCTCTTGATTTTCAGAAAATGCTCTCGATTTTCAACTCAGAATTTTTTTTTCCAAAGCCGGAATTTTTTGGAAAATTCTGGCTTTGAGAATGATTTCCCGAGGAAGTTTCAATTCCGGCTATCGGAGAATTCCGAGATATAACTGTATAACTGTATAAATGTAGGGTATCAATTTTTCCTTTGCTAGTAATCCGGGTATGCTTTGCGAACATTGAATCAGGGTGTTAAAATATCTGTTGGGAATAAGTGAAGTATTCCTGATCTGTATATTGTTCTACAGGATGTTATAGTATGGCTAAATGTGGTATTCAGGCATTGGAGGTGTATCATCAGTCAGCTACAGGAATGCAACAGTTTTCTTTATAAAGATTCAACTTAGCAGACTGACATGTCTTTCAGGTAGGGTGGGAGGCTGTTGAAAAGTTTTGACTCATTTCTGCTGAAACTGCTGGTTTTCAGTGTTTTTGTACTCAGCCAGTTTGTTTTGGGACCTTCAGTATAGCAAGACGCTTCCCATGTCCTGATGTGAACCTCTCCTTCCATGATTCTCCTGGTGGCAAATGTTGGTAAAATTCAGCAAGACAGTTTCCTAACAGTCTGTGATGATCTTTATATGTGAGCTGAAAAATCTTCTCTCATCACTTACTGTCACTTAAAATAATAATACAGTAAGTACTCGTATAATGTCGGCCCGCTTAACTTTGTTTCAGTACCACGTTGCTAATCTTTACATACCAAAAATTCGTTTAACGTCCCGACGACTTGGTACAAAGTAGTTTTGCGTCGTCACGGACTACTTTTTGCAGCCCATCACCCTCTCTCGTCTGGCCGCGCTACGCTCTCTCGGCTCGGCACAGAGTCTCAGTGACTCTCCACCCTCCTCCTCTCCCGCCCTCCTCCACTCCCATCCCCCTCCTCCGCTCCCACCCTCCTCCCCTCCTGCCATTCGCCTCCTCTGCCTTACTATCCACCACACACTTACTCTACCACTTCCGCCCATCAGGGAGTACCAATACTGTTCAAACTTAGTAGTTGTATATGTATGCATTATTTTCTATAGAAATGGCAATGATTTATGTATATGTAATGTATTTCATGGGGCAAAGGGAGACTCAGGAACGTAACTCCTGTATTTTATCTATTTCTTATGGGGAAAATTTATCCGCTTAACGTTGTTTTGTACAAGGTCGCGTTTTTAGGAACGTAACCCCGACGTTAAGCGAGGACTTACTGTACAGGTGGTAGTAATAATAATAGTATTTATTCACTAATATTATCCTTCAGGTTTACAATTGGATAAACTATGCAGTTATACAGTTCAGCATGGATATGGACAATGTAGGTACAGTGTACAGTTAACTATGTACAGCTGGGATCAAAAGTTCACTCCCTCCCAAAATGAAGCAGCATCGACCCCAAATGAGATACAACAGGTCGGGTAAGTAGGTTCAGAGACTCATTCCCGTGACTCAGTTTCACTACGGGGAGCGAACTTTTGTTTGCAACTGTACAATCAAAGATGCATCGACCCCACTCTGGATCTCATACTTGCAATTTTACATGGCAGTACTTGGTGATCCGTGGGGCACTAGTGCAGGGATACCGCATGCCATTAATGCATCAGTTGAGTCTATTACACAGTGACTGCCCTCTAACTTATGTCAGATTATATTATATATAATGCTCACATTGTAAAGAGAATTCCTTCGTGAAATACTTGAGATTAAATGTGAAACATGTACTGTATTCTTGAAATTTGATGTGAGAATATTGGGGCAGTCCTGGTTGTATTTGTGTTGCCAATTCATTTTTATAATTTTCTTCATTATTTAAGAAAATATAAGAACATTTGGAAAATTGTAATGATCTTAAATAATGATGAATAGTTTGAGTATAAAAATACAGCCATACATACAGCCATACTTCATCAAGTATTGCCAGGTAAAATTGTGAGTACAAGTGCCAAGGAGGAGTCAATGCATCGTTGGTTGACTGTATCTAGACAGTGCAGGTATATGACAATGGTAAACAGTAAGACCATTTGACCAAGGATAGCCAGCAAAGCTGTCAGATGCTTATTTCTGAGGTCTTTTAGGTTTCTTAAGAAAAAAGAAATGACACTGTTATGCACATAGCATATCCTTTTCATACTGTATAGTGGATTTTCATGAGGTAAGAAAACATTTTTCTTGTAAAGAACAATTCCTAAATTCTTAGTTAATATTATATACTGTCTTCATGTATAACCCTACTGTCTCATACCTGTAACCCCACCCTCCCCCTAAAAAAACAAAAAAAACGTAGATCAGAACATTAATCAACAATGACTTTTAGACTGTTTCTTGCACTGAACCCTGGTACCTGTTTTTATATTCTGCAGTATTGAAGAATAGAGAGGAAGAGGAGGAGGAAGAGAGGGAGGAGGTTGAGGCACTGCAGGAATCTGTGGTGGCTGTAGCTGACCAGCACAATGACCTTAGTGATTGTAACAGGTCACTCTTCTATCTCCATAAGTTCATCAAGGTATTATTATCAATTTACTGGACTGTACTCTAATATCATGTTCTTGCCCTAACCCCATGCAACCATTTGTTACTTTAAGACCTTAAACCCTCTTTCACCCATAATAAGTTTTAAGTTTCTGTGACCACGACAAGTCATAGTGAGACCTGTCATCACCACTCACGTGCGGTCTTGACATTATGGTTCTGTGACCAATTTATCCCAAAAGAATTTTATTATTATTATTATTGTTATTATTATTATTATTATTATTATTATTATTATTATTATTATTATTATTATTATTATTATTATTATTATTATTATTTTTGCATACTTTATATATCACTGGCTTTGTTCTTGTTTTCGCTTTAACATAAGCCATGAAATAAATGAATAAGGACATAAAAAATGATGCAGTCGTGTCGCATCTTATATGGGGGTTACTTTCCAAAGAGGGCACGTAAAGCCAAAAATGTGTAGTCAAAATTACCCTTGGAAATCCCTTGAATTACCCATAAAGTACATGGTTATATATACGTACCTGTTAATAGCACATCTGGCAACTTGCTTGTTTAGGCCTATTTAACCCTTAGGCCCCGGGTGACGTTCCAGAACTTCCAACTAGCGCGCCCCGGTTGATGTTCCGGAACGTCCGCCAATTTTCCCGCCATTTTTTATTATTATTTATTTATTTATTTATTTTTGTTCAATCCAGAATGCGATGCCTAGCTTATTCCTAGGTATGTTAATGCCTAGCAATAACTTTCCAGGCCAACATACAGGCAAGTAAAACATCTAATAATTACTTCATAAGTAATATTAGGAGGACACGTCGCTACCTGGCATTTAATTGCAATTCTCAAAACCCCCTCCCACACCCTCCATCACAAGCACTGCTACCGTCATCTTCTTGCCTGGCGAATCAGCTGTAAATACACACAAAGAAGGCGCCGCGAATTTGTGTTGTAATAGCTGAAATAATAAGTGCCAGGAGGATTTTGTACAGTCATCCCTTGGTTTTCACGTCTAATTGGGACCGCTTTGAGTGCGTGATTACGAAAAACACGATAACGAAAGTACAGAACCTTTGGGATTTATTCTAATTGGTTCCAGGCACCCAAGACCCAACCCCAATTTTCCCATTTTACGACCATTTAGACCCACTAAAGATATAGATAATGTTATGGTAAGTGTCAAAAACACACATAGGCATGGCTAGGTTTATTACAAAGTGATGAAAAGGGTACGCTTAATACTGTAATCCACAAAACATGTAGCTATGCTTTCTTTATTTGAGTCCCCCGTCATAGGAGTCCGTTTTCTCTCGCTTCAGGACGCCCGAGTCCTCTGTTTTCTCTCAATCTTAGAGTGCACCCGAGATTTCGTTATACCTTAGTAATGACACAGAATTTGAAATTGCAACCCCAATTGCAACTGGGGTTGCAATTGTTGAGGCAACTAGATATGTCTGATTCCAGCAAATGTGTTTTTGTCAATTTGTAGGTGAAAGATTTTATCCTCAATAGATGTAGGTGAAGCAAGGGGCTAACATTACACCTGGAAGTAAATGCATGATGACCAAATTCTCGGCCTGAAAAATGCGCTATAACGGCAGGTGTACAGATTTTGATGGAGGCGTGATAACGAAAATCGCGATAACCAAGTCCGCTATAACCAAGGGATGACTGTATACGGTATTTATACATCTTAGCACAGTGAGGAAACAGAGTGACTTTTATTTTGTTTATGTGTCTCAGATATTGTGTTTGGGACAATTTCTTATACGATCTCTGGTCAGCATGGCGACCACAGCGCGTCTTCTATTATGAAGTTGCTAGATCATTAGTGACTAATATCCTCTGCTTTCAAGTCACTCAGTGAATGACGTTGCACCCTCCCGGGCTCGTTTTCACTGAAAGAATATATATACAGTCATGTGCCGGTTAACGTCCGACCGAACAACGTCCAATCGCATATACGTCCGTGCCCTCCCCGCAACCAAAAATAAATAAATAAAAAATACGTGATGCCTGCTGGACCACCACTCCACGACCCCCTAACGGAGACACGATGATCCTCCCCATACTGGTCAGATATTATGTGTTAAAGGAATATGCTTCCTTCCTTAGGCTTTTTTTGCCTCCAGGTGTAATGTTAACCTACATCAATTGAGGATAAAATCTTTCACCTACAAATTGACAATAACACATTGGTTGTAATCAGACATATCTAGTTGCCTCAACAATTGCACCCCCAGTTGCAGTTGGGGTTGCAATTTCAAATTCTGAGGCATTACTAAGAATAGTGAAGTCTCTGGTGCAGTCTAAGATTAAGAGAGAAAACGGAGGACTCGGGCGTCCTGATGTGAGAGAAAATGGACTCGTATGATGGGGAACCAAATAAAAAAAGCATAGCTACATGTTTTGTGGACTACAGTATTAAGCGTACCCTTTTCATCACTTTGTAATAAACCTAGCCATGCCTATGTGTGTTTATGATATTTACCATAACATTATATATATATTTAGTGGGTCTAAATGGTCGTAAAATGGGAAACTTGGGGTTGGGTCTTGGGTGCCTGGAACCAATTAGAATAAATCCCATAGGTTCTGTACTTTCGTTATCGGCGGGGTCCCAATTAGGCGCGATAACCAAGGGATGACTGTACTGTACTGTATATACTTGTGACACTGGCCAGTTGCTACTGGTGTTATGGTACAGGGGTACCAAGTGACAACACTAGGATCCCGCTTCCTCTATCAAGGAATAAACAATTAAAATTTAAATTGAAAAAAAAACATTCAAATAATGGGACCTAGTGAACCTAAATGGCCCTAGTGCGGGTATAGTCACGTATGCATCGCGTATTCTTATAGATTGTGCTGCCAGGCATATGTTATCTAGTGAATTTAGTCAATATTGTACAGTAACAATGGACCTAAGTGCAAACCTGTATTGTACATGTACTAAATGATTACGGTACTAAAATTATGTTTATTGCAAATATAGCTTGTTTATAAATTACTATCTTACAAGAATCCCTCCAATGTAAGTTATATTCACCCAGGTCATTTGGGTGGCAAATTATGAAAAGAGCTTAGTCACTCTTAAGTAATGATAAATAAACACGCAGGCAGGCCTTCAGCGCCAACTGTCAAATCTAATCTCAAATAAATAAACAAACAAACGCCAGACATTGTCACCTCACCTCCCCCTCCCCCCCCCCTTCCCACCCTCCTTGTGTTCCCAGACAAAAGATTGGTGATTTCTTTGTTTATTTTATATAATATCTCAGACTAAAGTTAGGATAATATATTTTGCATTGCTGGAATCCTTGCAAGACAGCCAATAATTTGAATATAAACGTCATATATTTTGCTCAAGAGATAAAAATTGTTGTACATTAGTGTACAGTACTGTAGTACATTTTATAAAGTTTTTCAACTGTATTTTTGGGTAGATTTACATAGATTTCTTCATTTATTTTCATCCATTTACATGCACACACCATACTAAAAGAAACATACAGTGGTCCCTCGGTTAACGAGCGCCTCGGTTAACGAGTTACCTTCCATAAGATTCTTAACTTCGGTTAATGAGCAATCCCTCGATTAACGAGTTTCTTACGAGCCGACCTCCACATGTTTTAGCTTGCATTTGGCGGTCCACCAGCTGTAGTATTAGTCCGCCAATACAGTAATCGGTTCTAGGGCTTAAATTCCTTACCCTTTTAGTATCAAGAAGTTTATACTATTCAATAATTTTAAAAGTTTAATATTAAATTTTTTAGTCATTTTAACAATTATTGAACATAATTGAAGGTAAGGTCACTAGTTTGTGGCACGCCATCCAGCCTGCCAACACAGCATACAGGCGTCAGTCTCTGTGTCTTTTCAGTGGAGGTAACATCTTGCTTGAGACTCTCTTCAACTAAATGCTTTTTTTTCTGTGTTTGCAAGCAAATTATTGGTCATTTTGATATTTATTTTACATATTGACAATATATACCGTATATCTCGTCCTATAAGACGTCGGGGTGCATAAGACGGTCCCCCCAAATTTCCATTTAAAAAGTAGCTTTTGAGCTCTATTCGCTGTATAAGACCAGTACCCCAAATATGACACTTACCCGCTGACTCAGTAGTCCTTTACCAACCATCCTTGGTTTTTAAAATAAGGCCAATTCACTTCAAGTAATGTCATCAAATGTTACCCGCTGGTGTAGTGTAAACACTAGTGACGTCACTGAAGCGTCTGCTATTTACCGGTAACTGGAACTAATGTCTGTGTCAAGTAAAATTTTTCCATTTACTTGAAATGGATTTTCCGATTTATTTGTTTATTTATTTATTTATAATATACTGTAACATATTAAACACACTGCAAGTATTTTCTTTAATTTATAAGCTTGCTTCGCACGAGACGATCGGTGGTGGGAGTGTTCCCTCGTCTCGGTGGTGTGACTGTGTTCCCACTGTTTATACAACATACATATATATATATCTATATATACAGTTAACCCTCACTTTACGCGGTCCCACATTCCGCGTTTCCATGTTTACGCGGTCCCACATTCCGCGTTTCCACGTTTATGCGGTGCCCTGCCGGATCCCAGGATGCTCACATTCCGCGGTGCGTGTACCCCTTTACGCGGAGAGCGGCTGGCGAGCCGCGCCATTTTTGGATCCAAACCTCCCGCCATCCGCCATGTTGTGTAAGCTGCGCGAACATGGTGCGCACAAGGTCGCCCAGTCATCAAAACATTACCAGTTCTTCACCCGCCACCCACCACAGCCGGCCCAAGTCAGTGATAGTGTTAATTATGGTGAGGATATGGACTTATATGGACTTTGGGGAGTTTGACAAAGAGGCCCTGCAAGCCTCTGTGGTGGATAGTGATACAATTGATACAAGTGACACAGGTGAGGGCCAATAATCTGCCCTCTGCCTCGGAACCAACCGCCCATCCCCGTGTGCCCAGCCATTTTTTCTACTAATGTAAGTGTTAAAAAACCTAA